TGGTGGAGGAGATACTGGATCAGAAAAACAGAGGGGCCAGTGTGGCACAGGTTAACAACACATTATGAAGGGAGGGTACAGGAGAAAATGGCAATACATCCTGGACTTTATTTTGAAAAAATATGGTAATGTTAAAAATGTGGCTCCAGATTTATAATCTCACTGGCTCCCTGATTCTCAACTACACCTATGCAAATTTCATTTACACCAGTGAGACTGTAGAGATGTAATAGTTTTTGGCCCAATGGGAGCTGTGCATATATTACTGCAGGCAGAACTAGGTTTGCCTCTGATACATACACCAATCAAATAGCAAGAGACTTGTAAAGATGATGATAGGTCATTTATACCAATTAGGTTTCATTAAGCAGTTTAGACTTTTTGTCTCATTATGATGTTTAAAGAAGGCCTGAATGTTTGGGGGTGTTTAATATTATGTTTTGCTTTCTGTTTGTTTATGACATAAGAAATTCAGATCTTGTCTACTCTGGAATACTCCGTGGCAGCCTGGAGAACAAGCAGGATTATGACATCACAGATACAAAAGGACATAGCACCTTATATTTTAGTGATTTTTATTCAGTTTAAAATGCTGTTTTTTTCACCTGTTTAAATTACTCAGGAGAAAAATGCTTTGTTAAGGATTCACTACCCTGCCCCCTTCAGTTAAAGGCTGAAAAAAGTCTCATTCCACATCTGAGACCTCCAACAAGTGTTCCTACCAAAACACAGAAAAACAGATTTGAGTCTTGATTCACCTCTGGATTACTTAGAATAGTGTAATATAGACAGCTGTAAACTGGAGTAAGAAGGGGTGAATGAGACGCTTGGTATTCCTGCTATTTCTAAGCTAATATTTTATGAAAACCTTCTATTTCTATTAGAAATAAATGTGTTTCCAATGAAAATGGGGATTTTTGTTCAGATTTAAGATTTGTATTTAGCTTTACCATTCCCTTACAGTTTTGCAACCTAAATGTTGCAGCATTATATTTGTGCATGGGAAACAGAAAGTGAAACTTACTAAAAATTGTTTATAAAGTGAAAGACTAGTTTAATTTCTTTGCCCAATCTGAGTGAAAAGAAAAATATAAAGAAACAGAATAACCGGTGAAAAGTAAATTAGATTTGAAAATCCTTTGAATTTTAATAATCTAACTTGTAATTAGTGTTATAGGTATGGATTTCTTTATTTTTAATTATATCAGTATTGGGTGCTATTATTATTTACATTATTACTCTCAGACAGGAAACTGTTAGTCCATAGTTAAGGTTGAAAAAATTATTTAATCTATTTATAGGCATTTCTATGGTCCTTGTCACCATAGTATCTGATAACATTAATTTTTAGGAAAATGCCTTAAATGAATATTACAATTTAAGGAACAAATAACACAGGGAGCACAGGGAATTCAAAGTTCAGAATACAGTGCTCCAAGAACCAAACATTAGAAGTTGGGGACCCTCCTCTTTCCCACCAGAGTTATCTTCTTCCCATTCAGCATACTGACCCTCATTCCCTATATGGCTTTTCCTTTCCCAATCCTACTGGACTGGACTAATTTGCCTATCACGTAGCTCTCTGCCTGCCATTTCCCCTACCCTAGGCATCTGTATCAGTCCATGCAGAATATTGCACTAGGCCATGAGTACTTTATAAAGTCAACATTTTTGGGTAACGCAAACTTTTAAAGCATGCGGATGTAAGGAAGTATATGCATTTTTTACCAGGAAATTCTTCTCTGTGCTTTTCTTTAATCTTTTGAGCTTCATCATAATAGGGCTTCTTTTGCTCTTCAGTGAGTTTGTTCCACTCTAATCCAAGCTGGACACTGATTTCTGCATTATTGGCAGCTGGGTTAGCTTTGGCTAGTGCCGGCCGGTGAATTCTTGCCCACACCATAAATGCATTCATTGGACGTTTTACATGGCCATTTCTGTCTTTGCTAAATGGGGTATCTGGTATCCCTACGTACCAAAAATCAGGAAAGAATATCATTAGACAGACAGCATATGCAATGTTGCCGTAGATCATATTTAAAGAAAGAATCCAGCTAAACCCAAAGAAAAGAAACACCTAGATTCTGGAACCCACAAGCCTCCGTACATATTTGGAGAATTGCCCCTGGAAAAAAAGTTCAGCTGTTGTCAACTAAGAGAATACTGGAGTAATGACCAGCCACAAGTGAAATACTCCACAAAGAATAATTTAAATATTTGACATAACAGCATCTGCTATTGTGGGATAGTCTCCCTCTTTCTCTCTCCTTTCATACAGATCAGAGCTAATTTCAACATAATAAAAAAATGGTAGGGGTTTTGTTTTCATTTGACTAATTATTGTGTTATGTAATGCATATGTTTATAAAGGCACCACAGTATCAGTGCAAGCTTATGCACAGTGCAACAGTAATGCACCAAAACCCTGACCTTGCAGGGACCATACTCAGTGGTAATACGGGTAGTTCAGTTCTATAGCCATTCAATTCTTGGCTTCGCTGCTAAGCCTGCCAGATGGTGCTAGTCTTTTTTGTGATGTGGACACCTTTGCTGGAAAGACTGATGAATCTACTAAATGCTCATTAGATGCAAACAACTTCCCATCACAACCAACAGGGCTGGATTTGAGCTGATGACCTAAAGGTGGAAGGTTTCCACTCCACTACCAATTCACTTAGGAAGCAGCCCCTCTATGAAAGCTAATTCTAAATGCACCCATCACCTAAACCCTGTATTATCAATGACAGGACAAGAGTCTATTAGCCATTAGGCCACCTCTTAAAAGAAATTATTAATTTTAAAGGTCAAAATTGAGCTCCTAAATCTACTCAAAGATTAAGCCCAAGATTTTCAAGAATAGGAGCCTAAAAGCAGTCTTTAAACTCAGTGCTTAGGAAATTGCCTCATTTTCAAGTGGTGACTTTAAAATGAGGTTTTCAAAATCAGGCCGGTGCCTAAACGTGGACTTTAAAGACTGCTTTTAGGCTCCTATTCTTGAAAATCTTAGGCTTTATAGTTAAGAATCAGATACCTGCTACAGGGGGCTAAAGTCAGAACTGGAGTAAGCAGCTGCATGGAGGTCAACAGAGCTGAACCCTCTAAAACCCAGGTTGAATGTGACCCTGTATGTTTACACTCTCAGTGCAGGTGGAAATGATATGGATACAGTTTACAGAGAAAGGCCAGGACTTCAATCACATTTCTACTTGTGTTTCCTAGCTGCTAAAATTCCAACTTTGGGGCAACACGTGTTGTAGCCTTGGAAATTCCAATGTGACTGCCATAGAATAATACCTGCATCAGAGGGCAGCACTGTGAGGGGCACATCCTTAGTTTCAATTTTGACTGAAGGCTCCAGTAAGGATTGCATTTTAAGGGGCACTTGGGCCAGGGGCACTTTAGTCACTCGGATCAGCTCAGAAGGTGGAGGTCCCTGAAATTGGATCCTGGTCCCAGAGGGTACTGGATGGAGTGTCAATGGGATCTTCAGGTCTTGAGGATGCTGAGCTCCAAACCCACCAGGCGGCTGAGCCACAGGGGCATCTTTGCTGAAGGATCCAGCTGGCTTGGACGACACAGCTTCTTCCCTCCCCTTGCAGTCCTCACCGGCTGCCTCTGCCTGCTCGGCCTTGATTGCTCCTTCTTTCCCAGTCCCCGAGGCCACGCTGTCCCCCCCAGTCTCTTTCACCATCACCTCTTTCTGGCTCTCCTCTGCGTGCCCCCCTTTTTGATCCCCTCCTCTCCTGACGGGGCCGCTGGCCGCGAGCTGGGCCCCCTCTTTCCCTGCTCGTCGGGCTGCGGCGGCCTTGAGCTCACCCCTCTTTCTCTTGCTGCAACCACTGCACCCCAGCTGGCCCTCTTGCTCCTGCTCCTCTGCTTTTCCCCTGCAGCGCCCGGGGGGCTCACTGCCCCCCTCCTGCTCCCCAGGCCCCAGCGCAGCCCTGGGGGGCGGCAGCGGCCTGCTGGGGGGACTTTGCCCCTTTGGGGGGTGCAGCTCCTTGCCGGGGGCGCCCTGCCCGGGGAGGGGGGGCAGGAGCGGATGGAGGGGCCCCGGCCTGGGCGGGGGGCGCAGGAGGGGCGGCTCCCTGCCCCCCGGCCTGGTGAGGGGGTGCAGGAGAAGGTGCTCGGAGCGGGGTGCCTCCTGCCCGGCTGGGGGGTGCGGCTCCTCCTGCGCCCCCCCCTCCATGGCGCAGGCGGGCCCCGGCGGGAGGGGGATTGTCGGGGATTGTGAGCTCAGCCGCCCCCCTCTGTCGCTGTCCGTTTGTTTCCTGCGGTTGCTCCGCAAACGTTCTCAGCGCCCCCGCCCCGCCCCGCCGCACGCGCTGCCCTCCGCGCCTCGCGCCCCGCCCCGCCGCAAATGGCAACGGCGGGGCGCCACGTGCCTCCCACGCGGGGGGGGGGAGGGAGGGAGAGAGGAGGGGGGCGGGGCTGCGTCCCGGCGGTTGCCATGGCGACGCGCGACAATGGCGTCTCCCCATGGCGACCCCGGGAGGACCGCGTGGCGGCTCGCGACGGCGGCAGCCCGGCGCCCTGGGAGCAGCCCGGCGCGAGGCGGAGCGGGGGCCGGGGCTCCCTGCCCGCCACGCTCTGACATACCCGCGCGGGACCAGGCCCGGGGCGGCGGCGGGCCCCAGAAGAGCGAGGCCCGGCCCGGCGGGGGCGCGGGCAGGGACACGCCTGCTGCATGCGCTGCGGTTGCAGGCGGGGTCGCGCTAGCTTATCCCCTGGCTCCGTGGTCCCCCGCAGCAGAGGGTGCAGGAGGCGGCTGCACATGGAGCCTGGCCCCGTTGGGGTCAGGGCGGCATCTGGCCTGAGGGCCCCGCTCCTGGGGCGGCTAATCCACCCCCCCCCCCTGCAGAGCCCCGTGCCGGAGGCAAGGGCCAGAAGCGCCCCCTCTTCTGGAGCGAGCAGCAGTCCTCCAACGGCGCATCCCACCATAGAGCTGGCCTGGCCTGTGGCTAGAAGAGGTCGCTTCCGGGGCGGGTCGGGGAGGGGGGCTGCTTCCGGTTCCGGGCATGCGGCTGCGTGTCCGGGAAGTTGCTGCTGCCGCCGCCGCCGCCGCCGTTGGGCCTGGGACGAGGGCGCGGCTGGGCGGCGGCGGCCGCCGGGCCCCCATGGCGAAGAGCAAGTTCGAGTACGTGCGGGACTTCGAGGCGGACGACACGTGCCTGCCCAACTGCTGGGTGGTCACCCGGCTGGACGGCCGCAACTTCCACCGGTGCGGAGGCCGGGGCGCTTCCGGGAGGGGGGCCGCCGGCAGCCGGCAGCCGAGGGCAGAGCTGCGTCTCGCCGCTGCGGCGACGGGGGCGGGGCCCCAGCTTGCCCCAGGCCCGGAGCGAGCGATGGGCGCGGCGGCGGCGGCGGCCGGGGGGGGCGCCCCCTTCCCGTGAGGGGGGGGGGTCCCGTGAGGGGGGGCGCCCCCTTCCCGTGAGGGGGGGGTCCCGTGAGGGGGGGCGCCCCCTTCCCGTGAGGGGGGGGTCCCCTGAGGGGGGGCGCCCCCTTCCCCTGAGGGGGGGCGCCCCCTTCCCCTGAGGGGGGGGTCCCGTGAGGGGGGGCGCCCCTTCCCGTGAAGGGGGGGTCCCGTGAGGGGGGGGCGCCCCCTTCCCGTGAGGGGGGGGGCGCCCCCTTCCCGTGAGGGGGGGGTCCCGTGAGGGGGGGGTCCCGTGAGGGGGGGGCGTGCAGCCCCTCGTTCCCAGGGAGACGGTGGGTCCCGGCAGGCAGTGCTCCGGCTGAGGCCGGGGTGCGGGGCAGCGCCTGTGACCGTGTCTGGCCGCCCGGGGGCGTGGACGGGGGCACCCCGGGGGGGACGGAGGGCCCTGGGTGTAGCTGGCCCCCGGTGCTAATGGGCTCTGTAAGGGGACGGGGTCGCCGGAGGTGCCCACCCTTTCACTCAGCTTCTGCTGGAGCAGGGGTGATCAATCCGTTGTGGCCAGGTCCCCGTGTCTTGGTCGAGGTAGAGTCAAGGTCCGGCCCCCAGAGAGAATGACACACAACCCGTCGCAATAGGGATCGTGTGTAGATCCTAAAGATCTCGTGAGCCATTCAGACGCATCTGGCGGTCTGGCTTTGGCCCACGGACCACTTACTGACGACCCCTGTGTGCTAGAACATCAGTGTCACCCGGTCATAGGCCTCAGGGCAGCCGGGAACCGCTGCAGGCCGTGGGGAAATGTCATGACTGTTGCCTGGGGGGAGGGAGGAGAGCGTGGGACTGGTACACTGGGAATATTTATCTCCGGGTTCGGCAGGTGTTTTCCGGTCTATATAGGTATTTGTACTACGCTCATCACCGTAGGATCTGTGGCCTGGTCTCCAGCTAAAACTTAGGTCAGGGCTGTGAAAGTTTCATGCCCTGAGCGCTGTAGACAGGCTGACCTGGTCCCTGGTGTAGAGGCGGCTAGGTTGACCGAAGGACTCTTCCATTGATGTAGCTACTGTCTCTTAGAGAGACGGAGTGATGGAAGGCTGCATTGTGGTACTGCAGCAGCGCTGGTGTCTATCGTACAGATGTACCATGAATCCCTTCCAGTAGAGCATTAAGTAGCGTCACTACATGGCTGTCAAGTGCTGTTTGTTCTCTCCTCCTCTCCCCAAAGGCAGAAATGTGTGCAGCGGAATGACTAATTTTGGTGGTGTGTGGGTTTGGGAGAGTGTGACCCTCACCTCCATAAGCGATAAGGGGACTGTAGTTGGCTGGGCTGTGCGTTGCTCCCACAGGCTGCTCAAGGCCAGAGGGAGCATTTTTTCCCTGGAGTTATAGTTTCCACAGGCTGCATCACTCAGGTGGTGATACACAGCTGACTCTTACTTTGTACAAATTCAGTGAAGTTCTCAAGCTCTGGCAATTTGCTGATGCGTCTTCTCCCTTGGATAAAGTCTGAATGTGCTTTAGCAAAAAAGTGATGTAATAGTGACAAACCATATGCCTCCCATTGACTCCATATACCATAGGGGCACCAGTTGATTTTAAGAGCAGTTAAATAGTTGGCGTCTGATCTTGATGAGGAGGAGATTGTGGTGTATGGGACTCAGAAGCAGGAAGATTTTCTCATAGTGTTTTTGACACCTGGAGGGAGTTCATTGACTTCCAAAAATCCTGTCCATGCCAACAATGTTCTGAGGAAATAAATGTGATGAAAACAAGTATTGAGTATCTTTTATAAGGTTAATTTCCTATTGAACCTCTATTCTTCTTGAAGCTTTGCTGAGCAGCATGGCTTCAGTAAGCCTAATGATGACCGTGCCCTCCATCTGATGACTAAGTGTGCCCAGACTGTGATGCAAGAGCTGGAGGATATTGTCATGGCTTATGGACAGAGTGATGAATACAGCTTTGTTTTTAAAAAGAAAAGTAACTGGTTTAAAAGAAGAGCAAGGTAATTTCTCCTTTTGAGCTTACCAGTTTCCCCATGTTTAATAGTTCTCTCTGAGAGCTGGCATATGCAACTATTGTTTCTTTGTCCTTAAACTTGTACAGATGCTACCTGTATGATATAGATGGAAACTACACAATTCACTTGTGTTTGTGGGTGTGATTTTTGTATATATAATATGAGATTGTAATTAGCCATGGAGTATTTGATGTTATGTTTTTGTGTATGATGATTTTGAAAAGTAAATTAAATAAAGTTTAAAAACAAACAAACAGCAAAAGGGTGAATAAAAACCATCTTCTACAAAAGAGGATTTTTTCAGTAACCTATCTCCTCTTCCAGCCTCCACTGCTTAATTCTTAACATGTTTAATTCCACCAACCACTCTAAAAGGTTCTACCTGCTATTGGTGGTCCATAGAGCCACGGTATGAAAAGCACTGCTGTCCACCAGAAGCCTTGCCACTGATACCCAAATAATTACAGATAGAAAGGTATAGTTGTTTTAATAGCTAATGTATTCTCTGTCTCTCTCCTCTCTCTCTGTCTGTTGGCTTTGCGTTTGCAAGTAAGTTCATGACTCACGTCGTCTCCCAGTTTGCCTCCAGTTATGTTTTCTACTGGAAGGATTATTTTAAGGACCAGCCACTCCTGTATCCACCCGGATTTGATGGACGAGTTGTCTTGTATCCCAGTAACCAGAATTTAAAGGACTATCTCAGCTGGAGACAGGCAGATTGTAAGCATCTTTAGATATCAGGAAAACGAGAACAGTTGATTTTTAGCATAACGATTTATAACTGTTGGGTGTTTTTTTCCTCCTGGGATGAAAACCTCTAACCCCTTATTGCCGCATGCATAGGTGCGCTCAGTGAAAAAGAAGCTGCTGTATAGCAGAGGGACTGTAGTTTACTTATTTAAAAACACATCCTTGGAGCTGTTAAGCTGCACAAGAGTTGGATGATGTTCTTAGAAAGTAGATTATTTTACATTCTACAGTAATCTTCCAAAACCATCCCAGTTTGTATTTTTATTCCCCTTTTATCTTCCATTGACACTCTTTTAGAAAGAGCAACGTGGTGTTTGTGACGTTACTCATTTTATGTGTTAATACTTCTATTATTTTTACAAGCACACCCATTAATAACATGGGATCCATAGCAGATACTGGATTGTCATCACTAAAATACTGAAATTCAGTACCAGAAATTTTAGTAACATCACTTGAATGTTGTTTTTTTTCACTGAGAGATATAAACGTTCAGATTCAGCAATATTGTGTAGCAAAATTACAACAGTCAAATGACGAATATAGGATTTTCCATGACAGATCAGGTCACTGTTGCAAAGCTAGTATCAAACCTGGGGCAGTGACTAACATCTGTTGTTTCAGAGGAAGGTGAACTCTGTCTGCCATAATGCATCTTACTTAACAATTATGATATACTTCATGTAGCTGTGAGGAATCAATCATCTGACCATTCCAGAGATCCAGTATGCCATAAAGCATGAGATTGGATTATGATGATACTACATAACGACAAATATTACTAATGGTACTTTAAAAATCTAGCTGTAGGAATTTGTGGGAATGGAAAACCATTCTCTGAATAGCCATCTAGACTTTGCAAATAGTCTGTCCTTTGACACCATTTCCTATTTCTGCAGGCCACATTAATAACCTCTATAATACAGTGTTTTGGATGCTTGTGCAGCGAAGTGGCTTGACACCAGTCCAAGCACAAGACAGATTACAGGTAAGCACCTCTTCTAAATTAATTGTGTTCTAATATCAACTATAAGGAGAGATTTTATTCATAATACTACAGGGAACATACGCAGAACCCAGTTGCCAAGTACTTCCAATTATCCAGCCCTATGCAGGCATGTCTTGCCCATTATGGAAGGCCTGTATACCAATTTATTTTTCCCAGTATGTGCTTATTTTTCTCTGGAGATGATGTTGGTTTTGGATTTCTGTTTTGCAGTTGAGGTGTAAAGATCTTAACCTGACTGGCAACAAATTTACTTTAATTAGAATCCAAACAGGATTTTAACTTCATAATTAATGGGTTCAAATGCTTAGAAATGTGTATATGAAATGTGACTGGCCTCAAAAGAGATGTGGTATGGGTGTAAAACTGTGATTCAGCAATTCTTGAAGTCTAAGCCCAGCTCTAACAATGATTCAGTATGTGGTCTTGGGCAGGTCACTTTATCCATCTCATTCTCCTCTTCTTGCCTTTACAGGGTGCTGTTCCACACCTTTTTTTGTTGTGTACAAATATAAAAATTTGGGCTGTCAATTAATCGTAGTTAACTCCTGTGATTAATTTATCAAAAATTAATCACGATTAACAAAATTAATCGTGGTTTTAATTGCACTGTTAAACAATAGAATACCAATTGAAATTTATTAAATATTTTGGAAGTTTTTCTACATTTTCATATATATTGTATTCTGTGTTATAAGGGAAATCAAAGTGTATATTTTTAATAAAAAGTATTTGCACTGTAAAAATGATAAACAAAAGAAATAGTATTTTTCAGTTCACCTCATACAAGTACTGTAGTGCAAGCTCTTTGTCCTGAAAGTGCAACTTACAAATGTAGATTGTTTGTTACAGAACTGCACTCAAAACCAAAACAATGTAAAACTTCAGAGTCTACAAGTCCACTCAGTCCTACTTCTTGTTCAGCCACCCTAAGAGAAAAAAGTGTCTTTACATTTACGGGAGATAATGCTGCCTCTTCTTGTTTACAGTGTCACCAGAAAGTGAGAACAGGCATTTGCATGGCACTTTTGTAGCTGGCATTGCAAGGTATTTACATGCCAGATATGCTAAACATTCGTGTGTCCCTTCATGCTTTGGCCACCATTCCACAGGACATGCTTCCATGCTGATGATGCTTGTTAAAAAAAATGTGTTGATTAAATTTGTGACTGAACTCCTTGGGGGAGAATTGTATATCCCTCGCTCTGTTTTACCCGCATTCTGCCATATATTTCATGTTATAGCAGTCTTAGGTGATGACCCAGCACATGTTGTTCACTTTAGGAACGCTTTGCTTTCTGTCAAATCTGCAGTGAAAGAAGGTACCAATGTGAGATTTCTAAAGATAGCTACAGCACTCGACCCAAGGTTTAAGAATCTGAAGTGCCTTCCAAAATCTGAGAGGGACGAGGTGCAGAGCATGCTTTCAGAAGTCTTAAAAGAGCAACACTGATGTGGAAACTATAGAACTCGAACCACCAGAAAAGAAGATCAACCTTCTGCTGGTGGCATCTGACTCAGATAATGAAAATGAACATGCGTCAGTCCGCACTGCTTTGGATTGCTATCGAGCAGAACCAGTCATCAGCATGGACGCATGTCCTCTGGAATGGTGGTTGAAGCATGAAGGGACATATGAATCTTTAGCACACCTGCCACGTAAATATCTTGCGATGGTAGCTACAACAGTGCCCCAAGAACGCCTGTTCTCACTTTCAGGTGACGTTGTAAAGAAGAAGTGGGCAGCATTATCTCCTGCAAATGTAAACAAACTTGTTTGTTTGAGTGATTGGCTGAACAAGAAGTAGGACTGAGTGGACTTGCAGGCCCTAAAATTTTACATTTATTTTTGAATGCAGTTATTTTTGTACATAATTCTATATTTGTAAATTGAACTTTCATGATAAAGAGATTGCACTACAGTACTTGTATTAGGTGAATTGAAAAATACTGTTTATTGTTTTTTTTACAGTGCAGATACTTGTAATCAAAAATATAAAGTGAGCACTGTATATTTTGTATTGTGTTGTAATTGAAATCAGTATATTTGAAAATGTAGAAAACATCCAAAAATATTTAAATAAATTGCTATTAATCTCTTGACAGCCCTAATAAAAATCAAGAAGAACACACAGACCTCACTCTGCTTATCTATCCCCATTTTACCAAAGGAGATAACACTTCCTTACTTCATGGGGATGCTGTGAGGATAATGAGTTAATAAAGTTGTTCGAAGATCTAAAGAACCCTGTGTGCATGTTATTAATTACTTGCATTCAACATTTACCCTACTTGTTTCTGTGCTATAAAAAAGGACATGTATAAATAAATTGAGGTTATAAGGTGCACTTCTTATTTTCTTTTTCTCAATTTCAGGGAACTTTGGCTGGAGACAAGAATGAGATTTTATTTTCTGAATTCAACATTAACTACAACAATGAGCCTTTGATATATAGGAAAGGAACTGTACTAATATGGCAGAAGGTAAAAGTATCTTAACTGCATGCCTAGCCCCCCACACTACTTACCATCTCTCATTCAGTATAGACAAGTGGACTCCTGCCTTCAGTTGGCCTGTGACAGGGTTGGCCAACCTGAGCCTGAGAAAGAGCCAAAATTTACCAATGTACATTTCCAAAGAGCCACAGTAATACATCAGCAGCCCCCCATCAGCTCCTGTCCCAGCTCCTCCCACCCACCGGCAGCTCGACCGATCAGTGCCTCTCCCTCCCTCCCGATCATCTGTTTCGTGGTGTGCAGGAGGCTCTGAGGGGTGGGGAGGCAGGGGAGGAGCGAGGGCACGGCAGGCTCGGGGAGGGGGTGGGAAGGGGTGGAGTGGGGGCAGGGCCTGTGAAGAGCCAGGGCTTGAGCAGGGAGCACCCCCTGGCACATTGGAAAGTTGGCACCTGTAGCTCCAGCCCCCGAGTCGGTGCCTATACAAGGGGAGCTGCATATTAACTTCTGAAGAGCCGCATGTGGCTCCGGAGCCACAGGTTGGTCACCCCTGGCATGTGATGTCAGCCTCCATTGCCCATGTGTTAAATTTTCAAACAAGCACCTTTGTGCTTTCTCTCCTGCTTGGGAGGAGCCCCCAATAAACATTTGTAAAACTGCCTCATTCTCCTTCAGATCCCTCCTTAAAACCCTCCTTTGCTTTGGTGCCTACAAAAATATTGACAATAATTAGGTTGTTCATGAGCGGGGACCACCACCTACTATACTGAGCAATATTGACTCATTGTTTCCTTGTACTCTCCCATCAGTCTGTTTAAGAATCTGTTGTCTTGTGTATTATTCTTAAATTGCAAACGCTTTGGGTGCAAGGACCATCTTTTTGTTTGCTCTTTGTATGGCACCTAGCACAAGGTCCATGGCTAATGCTCCTAGGTGCTACAACAATAAATACTGCGTGCAGGTCACAAACCACAGTATAACCCCCACCCCCGATGCTTCTTATGATTAAATGTCATGACCTCCGCTTCCGTGGCTATGACTGTCTACATATAGAGATATTCCAGATACTAAGGAAATGGGGGTTTTGAACAGTGGGTGTTAAAAATGAGTTATTTTGAGGTGTTATAGATATATCTATGTCTAACTGAATAATATGAAAACTGGTGTCTGAAATCTGACTCATTTATAAAATATCTGTACGACTGTTTACCTATGCATAGACTCATCATCATCTCTGTGTATGCATGTGTTACAGAAGTCAGTCTTGCAAAATTCTATTTGCCTAGAGCTCACTCTTCATGAGAGTAAAATACAGTTTGCTTTTTTTTAATCAGTCAGGTTAAAAGCTGGATAAGTAGATTGTGCCTAGGCTGGTAAAATTTATGACTATTTTTCCAAGTTTGCTATAGTATAATCCAAAAGAAAACACTTGGGCCTATGCAAAGCTCAGTGCAGGATTGGAGCCTTAATATTTTTGTTATGAAGCAATTAGGACTGTTCAGCTCACTGAACAATCAGTCCTCATTTTCATTTATTTTGATGAGGTGTTGCTGCATGGTACACGCACAAAAGTAACTTTTGATGGAGGAACTTCTTTATCTGTAACTTGCAAATCTCTTCATTTCAGAGTTAGCTAGTAGCATTTGTTCCCCTGGCTCAACAAAAAGTTATGGGCTTGATGCAGGAATGAAATTCTGTGAAATTATGTAGGGGATCAGATTATCATAAATGGTGTCTTCTGGTCTTAAAATTTATGAATTAGTATAGATGTGAAGTAGAAGTGTGTGTGTTTCTTGTGATTAGAGCCTAGCTAATGTTGGTTGAGAGTCCGCCACAATTTTCTCACTGTTCTTACTTTTTGTTATACATAAAAAGAATGACTAATAGCTAACTCAGTTTTCTTTTGTGGCTGGTGATTTCTATGGCATTTTACCAAGAGGACTGATATAGGGAGAGACTCCTTCGTTTGAGATAGTGTTCCACTTGTCTCTTGTTTCTTGCCCATCTCTTTGACAATATTAGGCCTTCTGGGAGGCTTTATATCTACTTTTTCCATAAAAACTGATGTATTCTTTCCCAGCTTTCCAAGTATTTGTCGGTGCTCTCTTCAGACCATGTGAGAATGACCAACTGTTTCATCTGTTTCTTTATCCAGTGGCTTAACGTGCATGAATACCTATCTCTTGATTATATTAATAAATGGCTTTAATGAGTGTCTCACCATATAGTAATATATACACCTGGGGATGCTTGCCTTTATTTTGGAACGTCATTTCAGTGTTTGGCTTAGAGCAAACAGCTCACCTGCACCTTGCCACCTGTGTTTTTGTCTTGCTGAAAATACTCATGTGATAAGCTAAAAGACTTCAGGTGTAGATATTGAATTGAATGAAAAATGAATCCTGAAACAATTACCATGAAAATCATCAGAGTGGCATTCTTGTAATCTGATCCATTCAGTAGCAAAACCCTGTAAATATATGACCTGCGTGGCATGAGTTTTGACTGGAAAAATTGTTTCAGTATGACTTATTTTTGGTACCTGAGTGACACCATATGCCTAGATTTGCAGATTCTGGTACAAAATTAAAAGCTGTCATAAGGCAGAAGGGACAAAAGGGTCTTATTGTTAATATGTAAACAAGGTAAAACCAACAATTTATGAAACCTTCAAAGTCCTTTTATAAATACACTCATGTGTGAACTATATTTGCAGGTTAAAGAAGTCACTACAAAAAGAATAAAACTGCCAAAGGAAACGGAAGAGAAGGAAGTTGAAGTGACACGGACCAGGAGTAAAGCTGTCCCACTGCACTGTGACATCATTGGGGACCAGTTCTGGGAGGACTATCCAGAAATCCTAGCTGATAGCTGACCTTCCCAGTTTGAGTTCTTGTGCAAACAACAGGAAACAACTTATCTGCATGAGCTTCTGGGAAGTGAGGACTGTGGGGTGAGGCTCGGATAATTTAACTTTGTAATTCAGCATCCACATTTTGAGTGATGTTGTCTTAGAAACAGTGTCCTTGCCTGTCATGCAGCTATATCTATCTGCAGAAGCGAAAATCATGGTACTTTCAAAGGGAAAGAACTTTTATATAAAATTACAAAATTAACCCTTGTAAATGCATATTTGCATTGACTTATAACAACATCATCATGCATGTATGTAGGATCTTTCACATTAACGACACAGGGTGCTTTATAGAGTTACTCCGCTAAAACCATCTACTCTTTGGAACAGTTAAAAGCAGCAGAAAGATTTTCTTTAGGTTTGTTTTAAACTCTGAAACAGACTAAAGACTTGGAATAGTGCCTTGAATCAAGTTCCATAACCAGGGAGCTTTGTTACAAAAATTCTCTAGCAGTCCACATCTCAGGCCTATGTTGAAGATACACAAAGTAGCCCAACAATTTGCTGTAACTAATTTTAAAGGGGTTTTTCTCATGTGTAAATTACTTTTCTATTTTTTTAAAGATGCAGAAATGTAATTCTCCCCCTCCTATGTTTATTCTTCAGAGTTTTTTGTCGCTGTGGCTTTGCTAGTTATTAGTGAAGGTCTCAAATGGCCAAATGTTGTAATAAAGTTCTCATACAGATTTCTGTCGTGGTAGGAGGTGTGTGTAGGTCATGCTCTCATTTTTCTGCTCACTGGGAAACCCTCTGGCTCCTGCTGGCTAGGATTATGGAAACTAGCAGAGAAGAGGGAGAGAAGATCTTATTGCTTATAGTTGGGAAGGTCTTATGTTACTCTTGTTTGATCCATGCAGTGGTATAGATGACAGTTCCTGCTACAAGAGGAGGCAGAGATGAGTCATGATGGGATGGATGAGGAGAAACTACCTTGGAGTGTGTACCTGAAGGAATTTGGTGCCCTGGCCCACATATAGTTTTTGTGCTGATTTAACTATTTTGGTTAGAGGAATACTTGTTACCAAAGTAGTTAAATCAGCTCAGTCCCTAGTGTGGACACAGTTATACCAGTATATTTAGGGGGATAAGTTTATAAAAGTGTATACTGATATAGAAGCATCCACACTAAGGATGGTACCATTTTAACTATACGGGTTTCAAATGACATAGTTTAACTGTCAGATAAGGTGGGGAGGTAATATCTTTTATTGGACCAACTTCTGTTGGTGAAAGAGACAAGCTTTTAAGCTTACACAGAACTCTTCTTTAGGTTTGATTAAACTATGTTGACAAGTACTTGGTAAGGAATTGTTCATGCTTCGCAGGCTGGGCATAGACAATGAAAGCAAGGAGCAACTATGACTAAAGAAGGTTGACACTGGACTTGTCTCTCATTAATTAACATTCCAGCCACTCCTCCCCCCCCCAGAAGAGAGCTGATTTACAGCAATATGTATCTTTTTTTACTATTATTTATTCACAACCTGTCTGAAAAGCACTAATAAAAAATTACGGAGTCAAGGTGTTTTATTACTGTGGCTATTTCTGTCTCTGCCCCTGCTCCTGTTAATGTGATTGGCTATAAAGAAAATACATTCAAGCCAGCTGGATAATAAGCACCTAAATATAAGATAGTATATACAATCTCATTTTCTTAATGTGTAGTATGGATACGTGATCATCAAGAAGCTAATAGGAAAAGGCAGACTTGGGGGATTGTGGGGTGGGCAGCACATCATTCATTCCAAATTAATCATGACACCTAAGTTATAGAGAGTCTTCCTAGCATCTGTGAGCCCTCTAATACTTTGGTCTGAGATATAAACTCTATTGGACTCCAGAATGTCTCATGTCAGTCTCCAGTAACTGACTTCTGGAGGTTTCTCCTCATATAATAAATTTATCTTCAAAAAAATAGTAAAATTTGGATTTTTCACTCTGGCATAAAGTGGAAAGAATTTTTTGAGAACATGGTTCCAGCTGATAATACTTATCACCGACATGGGGCTTTATATCTTCAGAGCACTTTACAAGCATTAACCAATCCTCAGAATAGTGTATAATAGGTAAATATTCCCCTTTCACAGATAGGTGGAAACTGCAGGTCATAGGTAAGGGTCATATTTTCAAAAATGGCCTTTAATTTTGTGTCATGTTGTTGTTTTGAGAGGTGCTGAACAAATAACTCCAACTGAAGTAAAGGGTGCTGAGCACCTCCAAAAATCAGGCCCTATCTATCTAAAGTTTGCTATTCAAAACTAGAGGAAGTTGAAACAATTGAAAATGGATATGCCCAAGAAAAAAGAGGAGGTGGATGAGTGTTGGACAGAATTAGAACCAGTATATGCCAGCGGCCCAATACTGTGTTAACACTGTGCCTCTATAGAGCAGGTAAAGTGTCACTGTGACCCACTTCAGAAATGGACGCTTCCTTTTGAAGTTGTTCAGAGGACTTTTCTCAGTTAGGTTTTACTGCCGTAGAATGAAGCATTTGACCTTTGGGGACTAGTTACGGAGTTTAATAGCAGGGGGTGCAGTCTCTTAACAGTGACTAGAATGGGCTCCAGGGATTGAAATAGTGTCACTTTCCTTTTGAGAAACACTTGTGCAATATGTTCTCTTTAAGGAAAAAATAATAAGCTTTTTGTACTGACCTTTACCCAGCTGCCTTTCAGTTGTGCAACATAAGTGCTTACCTCTATGAAAGAGCCAGTGCATGACCTGTGAAAGGTCCTAGAGCAAGGGACTTGGTGTTTTACACAGGCAGAGCTGCTGTAATACACAGAGGGGTTTTGGTATGAGAAATTAATTAAAGGTGCAGCATTTAGAGAAGCCATATTAAAACCAGAGCATCTTTAATCTATCTGAGTGCTGGAGAGCTTGATTACCAGCCAGGAGGGCTGGGGCTTGGGGCTACTGGCCTGATTTCCCTCCAGATGAGGGGATAAGCACCGAGCAAAGCTCATTGTATTGAAACCATCAGGGCAATGGCTCTCAGCCTTTCCAGACTACTGTCCCCCTTTCAGGACTCTGATTTGTCTTGCGCACCCCCAAGTTTCACCTAATTTAAAAACTACTTGCTTACAAAATCAGACATAAAAGAACAAAAGCCTCACAGCCACACTGTTCCCGAACAACTGCTGGCGTTCTCATCTTCACCATCAAACTATAAAATACAATCATTGGGCTATCAATATTGTCCCTGCAGTTCAATGTGCAGAGCGGTAGACACAAGTCATCTGTATCAAATTTTAGTTCGTATTGACCTACGTTCACCTGTTGTAAAACGAGGCAGATATCTAGAGGAGCAGCTGTACCCCCTAGAAGACCTGCGCGGACCCCCGGGGGACGTGTGCCTCTGGCCGAGATCAGGGCAGGGACACCGTTGAAGGCCCCCTGGCCCTGGCCCTCTTTCCAACCCGCGGCTGTCTCTGCAGCCGGGCCCCCTGCTCCCACCCCACAGAGGCTCCGCGGGCCCAGGCGGGCCGCGCTCCGTCTCCCATCCCAGCGCGGTGCGGGCCGGAGCCTGCTTAGCTTGGGGGCGGTGCCGGGCGCGGGGGCGGCCCCTCGCGGCGGCCGGGCCGAGCGACAAGAGGCGGCCGGCGGCGAGCCCGGCCCGGCCCGGCGGCGAGCGGGGCATGGAGAAGGCGGCCGGCGGGGAGCCGCGGCCACGGCGGCGGCGCTCGGGCTCCAGCCCCAGCCCCGAGCCCGGCCGGTCTCCCAGCCCCAGCCGCCTGGACGTGAGCTCGGCCCGCTTCGACCCGCTGCTGGCGCTGTACTCGGCCCGCACGCCGCTGCCCTTCCCCGGCGCGCCCTGCTTCAACAACCTGGCCGAGTACGAGAGCTTCCAGCGGGGCCTGCGCCGCCCGGCCGCCCGCCGCCGCCCGCCGGGCAGCGCCCGCCGCCGCCCGCCCGCCGCCGACCCCGAGCGGCTGCAGCGCCTCCGCGGCCTCATGGTCAGCCGCGGCCCCGAGCGCGAGGCGGCGGCCCGCGGCCGGGCCGGGCGCCGCCGGGCCCCGCGCAACGTCCTCACCAGGATGCCGCGTAAGGGGCGGGCGCCGGGGGGGAGCAGGGGCGAATGGGGGTGCGGCTGGGGGGGAAGAGTTATGGGGGTGCGGGCCCAGGGGGGAGGTGGGGGAATGGGGTGCTGGCTGTGGGGGGAGGGGGAGCAGTGGGGGAAGCGGGGGGGGGTGCTGGCTGTGGGGGGAGGGGGAGCAGTGGGGGGAGAGGGGTAGCGGGGGGGTGCTGGCTGTGGGGGAGGGGGAGCAGTGGGGGGAGAGGGGTAGCAGGGGGGGTGCTGGCTGTGGGGAGCAGGGGGAATGGGGTAGTGGGGAGAGGGGGGAGGGGGGTGCTGGCTGTGGGGGAAGGGGAAGCAGTGGGGGAGGGAGTGGGGGGGTGCTGGCTGTGGGGGGAGGGTTATGGGGGTGTGGGGCCAGGGGGGTAGGTGGGGGGGGTGGCAGTGGGGGGAGAGGGTAGCGGGGGTGCTGGCTGTGGGGGCAGGGGGAATGGGGTAGTGGGGAGAGGGGTAGCGGGGGGTGCTGGCTGTGGGGGGAAGGGTTATGGGGATGCTGGCTGTGGGGGGAGAGGGGGGCTGGCTGGGGGAGGAGGGGGGGGGCTGGCTTTGGGGAGAGGGGGGGGGGGGAGCAGTGGGGGAAAGGGGTATGGGGGGTGCTGGCTGTGGGGGAAGGTGGGGGGAATGGGGTGCTGGCTGTGGGGGGAGAGGGGGAGCAGTGGGGTAGCTGGGGGTGCTGGCTGGGGGGGGAGCAGTGGGGGAAGCGGGGAGAGGGGGTAGCGGGGTGGTTGCTGGCTGTGGGGGGAGGGGGAGCAGGGGGGAATGGGGGTGCTGGCTGTGTGGGGGAAGGGTTATGGGGGTGCTGGCTGTGGGGGGAGGGGGAATGAGGTAGTGGGGAGAGGGGGTAGCGGGGGGATGCTGGCTGTGGGGGGAAGGGTTATGGGGGTGCTGGCTGTGGGGGGAAGGGGAGCAGTGGGGAGAGGGGGAGCGGGGAATGGGGGTGCTGGCTGTGGGGAGAGGGGGAGTAGTGGGGACTGGGGGGTGCTGGCTGGGGTGATGGGGGTGCTGGCTTGGGGGAGCAGGGAATGGGGTGTTGGTTGGGGGGGGATGTGAGCCATCTGTATTTTGTTGTTGTATATAAAATAAACACTTCACTGATGGTGTTTCATATCTGTTCTAGTTCACGAAGGCAGCCCTCTTGGTGAGCTACATCGTTGTGTCAGAGATGGTGTAAAAGTCAATGTCCACATCCGAACTTTCAAGGGGCTGCGTGGAGTCTGCACAGGGTTTTTGGTTGCGTTTGACAAATTCTGGAATATGGTAATTATTGTACTACTCCTTGACTCACAACCTCTGCACTGGAAACACCTAAACACCCCCTGGGAAAGGGACTAAACTGGCAAACTTGGAGGAGGTGGGAATGTAGTATTGTTAATCATGAACCCATTTTGCCCTTGTACTGAATGCTGGGATGTATTTAACAATTTCCCAAGTTTCTGTTACCAAACATAGAGAGCTAAAATATAAGGGATAGCAGAAATCTCTAAAATCTTCTCTGCAGGATCTAGGCATGTGTGTTGGAAAACTACTCCCCTGCCTTTCCTCAAAACAATTTTTCTTGCTTATTTTGCCCCTCTGATCATTTTCCTTACCTTGATCTTCTGAATCTTTTGTTGTTGTTGTTGTTTTTTTTCCTCTAGGAGACTGATTTTTCTTTCATTTGATGTCACTCCTTAAATTACTGTCTCTTCCACATATTCCATGGAGCTGGGGTAGTGCTTCATGCAGTCCCTCTGTCTCTTCTTAAGGCAAGAGTCCCCAGTTCTCCCCTTGGAACTATGTTTGCCTCTTAGGCCAGCTGTAGGGCCTTAGCCATCTTCTCCTTCAGCTGGGCCCTCTTCCCCAAAGAGTTCAGCAAGCGGGCCTGCTCCTGCTATGAGTCTGCTGGTCTGCTTCCTAAAGCTCATCTCGATTGGCTGGGAGAAAGGGGAGTCTTGATTTATCCATTCTGAAAGGCTCCTGTTCCCAGGCCCTTAAAGAAACAGTCATGGGATTTCCTCCCAAACACTACCTGTTCCTATGACCACTTCCTCTCTACCAATATCTCTTACAACTTTGTTATATCAGACCTCTCAAAATCTTAAAGGACCACACCAGGTGATGGAGAGTGAGCTGACCCCAAGGCACCATTTCCTTAAAGGGGACAGACTACCATGTTTCAGTGCTACAAAAGCAGAGCAAGGCAAGATTGCCCAAAGATTTTTGAGAGGGGAGATTGGATGGAGGGAAGGCAGCTGTCAAAGGGTTTTGATCCCTGAAGGTGGGAGAATGTTGGAAAAAATCAGTGTTATCTTGGGATAGAAAACAAAAGTATTTGTGTGTGAGGATGATGGGGAGGATTTGGGAGTAATGTAGAAGCAGCTGCTGGGCACTACAGGGGCTTTGCAAAAAGAAAAGGAGAACTTGTGGCACCTTAGAGACTAACAAATTTATTTGAGCATAAGCTTTCGTGAGCTACAGCTCACTTCATCGGATGCATTTGTTTTTATACATCAATATAACTAAGTGTCTTGGACATAAAGATACACATTCCTGTGTAGTGCTTGTTACTAGATTGTCCTTGAGACAGGACACTTTTTGATGGCTTTATAAGGTATGATACAAAGCTGTTCTGAAGGTCAGAGTGTTTAGAACTTTATCTTGAACCTTTTCCTTTGTCTTCTTCCAGGCCTTGACAGATGTAGATGAGACATACAGAAAGCCCGTACTGGGCAAAGCATTCTACAGTGAACCTCAGCTGACTCTTACCAGGGTAAATAGCTTTCTAATAGCTTATCAACTGACTTTCTGTGCCTTATTTTTGTAGTAGTTAAAAAGATAGCATTTCCATCTGAAACTGTAGTATTTACTTTTACAGATAACCCTAGAAGATTACTAGAACTGAGAGTTCAGAGCAGAAACTCTGCCCTTCTCCTCCCCCCCCCCCATTTTGTTTGTTTTGTGCATTTGACAGTGCTTTGTCTATAGTCAGTTTCACTGTTCATTTGGTAGTCATTTGAATGTCTGTCTGTTGCAATACCATGAAGCTGTCCCTCTCATGTCCTGCTCTGGAGCTCACATGCTTGCTGTTTTTCCGAGCACCGCAAGAGGGCATTTACCAGTTACAGCAAAGCTGAAACGGAAGAGGCAATAGGCATACACATGAACAGCAAGGAAGGGGGTGATGGGGGACGGACATGTATGTTGTTGCTTTGGGCCTGCTCAAAAGACCTTCTATACCTCAGCAGGGGAGCTGAGAAATCCTTGAACGAATTTATTATAAGGAATTTGTTTTTAAATTGGGGACATTCTCTCCAAACAACAGATTTAAATAAAAAGAAAAGGAGTACTTGTGGCACCTTAGAGACTAACCAATTTATCTGAGCATAAGCTTTCGTGAGCTACAGCTCACTTCATCGGATGCATCCGATGAAGTGAGCTGTAGCTCACGAAAGCTCTTGCTCAAATAAATTAGTTAGTCTCTAAGGTGCCACAAGTACTCCTTTTCTTTTTGCGAATACAGACTAACACGGCTGTTACTCTGAAACCAGATTTAAATAGTTTCCTCTTCTCTCTCTTCCCCCTCTTCCCTTTTTTTTTATTTTTAATCTATCAGTTAAAAAACATTCAAGTTGCCAGTATTCCTTTTAAGCCCATTCATACTGGGGCTGGAAATTGGACATGCCAAGCAATCCAGTGTATATTTCACGTCCGCTTTATACATAATGCTAGCATAATAATTTCTTTTCCAACTTCAGCACCTTTACACTTTCAGATTAATTAACTCTTTTTTATATATCAGTTCTGCTATCCTAGGCATTTTTATGAATAGTTACTATTGGTTTTGGCCACTCACCTCCCAAAACCGCCCTCTTCCTTGGTGCCCCATTGTCTCATTAAAGGAACCCCAGATCTGTTCTCCCTGAATGAAGTCCTGACATATCGAGGCTCCACATCACAGCTGTTTGTCTCCTGGCTGAGGTGGAGGGGATAAGGATTCTTTTAGCACTATCTTTCTATGTTTTTGGGGTAGAGGGTGGTTTAGAGGTCATTGAACAACACACTGACTCCTGTCTTCCCTGCCATAGTGTTGAATACTGTCTCCATGGCAGTATCGCCCATGCAAAACCAAACTCCCTATTAGTCATGAGATGCTAAAGGCACTCTTGCATAGTCTGTCTAGCAGATCTGGATGCGTGAGACACCCATTCACCTTACTTCTTGGTTTAACTCTGGGAAAAATTTAATATCGGTTGATGATCATATGTCCTGGCTGCTGATTCTGGGCCAGGTGCTCAGTGCTTCATTTAGGAGTGGAGAATGAGAAGCCTCTGTTTATGAATGTGATCGTTTTACCTGAATGTTCCCTTGCAGCTGTTCGACAGACTCAAACTGCAGGAGTCCTTGATAAAGAAGGGAGTTGACTCAAGGACTGCAACAGAGGAGCCAGCCCTGACAAATGAATCAAAGACCCTTGGACGGAAAGCTGGGTCAGGACGCGGGAGAGCAGAGGATGAGTGTGGGATGCAGACATTTTTGGGTGGAGCTGGAGAAAAGAAGACAACAAATGACAACTTGCATCTGGGAGTCAAGAATAAGGCTGACCTGCCAAGCAGGACTGCCCAGACAGAGGGCACTAGTGCAGGGGGTGCTAATGCAAAAGGCCAGCCACGGAAAAAGCAGAGGCCCAAAGTGGATTATCAGCAGGTGTTTACGCGTCATATAAACCAGATATTTATCCGAGGAGAGAATGTCTTGCTTGTTCATTTAGCGCATTGACTTGGCTGAGCCTTAGTCAGTATATTTAACACATAGCATGAATTGCAGCTACAGCTCTGTGCTACTTAGCATTGTTGTGAAGTACCATGGTATCATAACTGTTTCCCTTCCTTCAACCATAACAGGATAGGGGAAATAGATGCAAGTTTGTCGGAGGTTGCGGCATTTTGAGCCAGCTGCTAGATCAGCCTCGCTAGACTTCTTCCATTCAAGGGGTTGAAGGCAAGTTCAGCAAGAGTTTGCTTCTGCAAGATGAGGAAACGAGAAGAATCGTCAGGGCAGGACAGGAGGCTTCTTAACAGGCTAAATTAAGACTGTTGAGGGGTGAAATCAGTGTGCTTGGTTATGGGACAAAATAGTCACCCCACATTTAAAGAGCTTGCGACTCAGCGTACAGTCTAAAATGAGTGACCAATGCTAAATACTCTCTCATAATTGTGAGAGAAATTAGTTTAAAATGAAACCAGCAACTTATGGAGTATTAGTTTAATAATAAAGTCTGGCAAAGAATAATTCTTCTGTCTTAGTGTGTAAGGGAATTAACAGCCTGTGCAAAAGAGGGACAACAGCAATGGCGTTAACCTTTAGTTTCTTGCTGTGGCAGGCACACCTCTGTAAATGCACCCCAATCCCGAGCTGCCACACCTTCTGTTGTCAAAGCCTGTCTCTTGAACAAAGACAATGTTGGGGTGTATCTGATGAGTCTAAATAAGCATTTGAAGATCTCTCACCCTTCGGGGAAAAAAAAACCCTCTTTAAGGCAGGATTTGAACTTGTCTCCGTTGGCATAGCTTGTGCTCTTACTCACTTGCCATGCTTTCTCCCTGCACTGCCAGCCAGCAGTTAAAGTAGTCAGTCCAATAACTTGGAGTTTTTGTATGAAACAAGAAATCCTACTCCAGTCTTTTGTATTTCTTATCATCCATTGGCCACATAGTATAACAGTGAAATGGTGAGACTGTACTTTTCTTGTCAAATTTGAAAAATAATAGCTTGTGCTTAGCACAGTTGTACTGTATCGAAGCATCTTTGAAGTTCCCTCTATTGAAATGTGAGATGCTGCCTCTCCAGCAGTTCTGAGGGGAACACAAATCTTAATGATTCTTTCCGGATAGTATATCTGTATGAATGGTGCTCCCTCTAATTCCAGCTGAATTGAATTTCAGCGGTGTACTTAATGTTTTATGAAACATAAAAATTAATGCTAAGCCCCAACAAATCAGTGGTTTAATTTCAGTAGTGTTCCCCTCCTCATATCTAAATCACTGAAGAATAGCCTCAAACCACTGCACTGTATAAACCGTTGACCAACAGCTATTGGTAAATTCCTAGAGCCTAAGGCTGGAAGGGACCATTAGGTCATCTAGTCTGACCTCTTGGTACATGACACACAAACTGGGAGAGTGGTAAGTAATGAAGAGGACCAGTCACTGATTCAGAGTGATTTGGATCGCTTAGTAAACTGGGTGCAAGCAAACAAGCATTTTAAGATGGCTAAGCGAAAATGTATACATCTAGGAACAAAGAATGTAGGTCATACAGGATGAGGCAGCTATCCCAGGAAGCAGTGACTTTGAAAAAGATTTGGGGTCATGATGGATTATCACCTGAACGTGAGCTCCCACTGTGACACTCTGGCCAAAAGAGCTAATACAATCGTGGGATACATAAATGGGTATCTTGAGTAGGAGTAGAGATTATTTTTACCTCTGTATTTGGCATTGGTGCGACTGCTGCTGCAATACTGTGTCTAGTTCCGGTGCCAACAATTCAAGAAGGATGTTGATAAATTGGAGAGGATTCAGAAAAGAGCCACAAGAATGATTACAGATTAGAAAACATGCCTTATGATAAATAGATCAAGCTCTTGGAGTTTGGCTTAACACAGAGAAGGTTAAGAAGTGACTTGATTACAGTCTGTGTAACAAATACTTAATAATGGGCTCTTCAGTTTATCAGAGAAAGGTACAGCATGATCCAATGGTGGAAGTTGAGCCTAGACAGATTCAGATTGGAAATAAGGTGTAAACTTTTAACAGTGAGTAATTAATCACTGGAACAATTTACCAAGGTTTGTGGTAGATTCCCTATCATTAAACATTTTAAAATCAAGAATAGATGCATTTCTAGAGCAGATCTTTAGCTGTTATTTTGGGGCTGTTCTCTGGACTGTGTTCTATAGGAGGTCAGACTAGATAACCACAATGGTCCCTTCTGGCCTTAGAATCTATATCCTAGGCCATTACATTTCACTCCTGTACTCCTGTATTGATCTCAGTTACCTGATGCTGCAAAGCAGCTCCCCTGCTAAAAATGAGAATTAAGACTGTCCCGCATTCTGATGGGAGAACAACTTCTTAATGCTTTATAACCTGAGTCATAATGCAATAAAAAGTCAGCCCTAGAATTTACTGGTTATACAAAACCTTAGAAGTATAACTTTGCTGTTAAAAGTGATGTATAAATTGTTTATCTTTAGGAATACATCTGATGCAGTTTCTGGACATTCAAAACAGCCTTTTGTCTGGGGGGCTGTTTGAAACTTCTGTAGACCTTTCAAATAAAGCACCTATTAGGGTTTGGATGACTGATGGGATAAGTCTCCAAATTGCCAGTTCAAATCCGGTCTTCAATAAGGACTGGAAATGAAATGGAATCTAATCACTGTCACTGAAGACTATAGTGGGAATAAATATAAATTCAATAAGATTCTGAAAACTTGCTATGAAAAAAAGTGAATTACTATAACTTTTTATAATTAAGCATAGCTTTGTTACCAAACCACTGTCTGATCTCAGACTTTGGCCACTGAAAAGGCTTCTCTGGTCTCAGGCTCGGTCCATCCCTCTTTTGAGCTATTTTCCCTATTCTTAAAAAGCCTTCTATTGATTCTTCTTTCTCCCTGCAGTCCTTTCTAAAATCTTTGAGCAGAAATCTTATTTTCATATTTGCCCTTAATTCACTCCGCCTTTCCAGTTTGGTTTTCTATCAGGTCACTTTATTAAGAGAGCTCTCATATGAGTTCTTAAATTGTTGCTTGAGGTTGCAGCCAAAGATTTTACTTCTGTTCTTGACTTCTCATAATCTTCTGTCACTGACTTATTTTTTTCATTGCCTCAGTTGTTTTTCTGACTGCACTCCAATGTTTTCCTTATCTCGTTCTGTTTTTTTGGGTATCCTGGGACAACCATTTCTCTGCCTCTTCTCCTGTCTCAGCCCAAAGGGCTCTGTTCTTGGTCCCATAATCTATTTCTTCCAACTCACTCGGTGTGATTATCTCTGCTCAGGCCCAATCTTAGGATAACATTCAGTTGTGTTCTTTCCTTTCCTTTTTTCTCCTATACCCATACTTCTTTCTACCTTGCTTGATTCCATTTCCACTTGGACTAAAGCCGCTCGCCTTATATTAGATATGACCAAGATGAATGTTCTCTCCATCTCCACTGCTTACTTTTCTTTCTTGTTGTTAATACTCCTATCAATGTGGTTGCTGCTGCTTCTATGAGTCTTGATGTTATCTTCAACTAACACCTTTTCCCCACCCTTTTCTCTTGTTAAACCTTGCAGATATCACCTTCTAAACAAATCTCTGGAGGCTTCTTATTTACATTAAAGTAAAAATGCTGATCCTTGAGCTGCTGATTTAGTGCCTTGATTTCTGCATAGCTATTGATCTGCTTTTCCAAAATCTTCTAGTCCGCCACCTCAGTTGACTAATCACCCAACACATGTACCTTTTTGCTCTCTCACCATTCACGTTGCTGTTTGTTTCATTTCAGCGTCTTGCTGTCCATCAGTGTTGTCAATTTAAAAATTCTTTCTTACAATTCAGTGCTTGATCTGGTCCTTCTTCCTTTTATTGCCCCTTTCATATCTCCAAGTGTTTCTAAATATTGCCGCCTCTTTCTATAGCCCCAGATCTGGTGCTTTCTTCCCCTCCTCCACCTCTTTCTGACATTCTGTGACTTTTAAAACCCATCTGCAAAATTGTTTATTTTTGTCTCTTGTGAGTGTAAGGTATTGTCACTCAGCCACAAACAAGTCAATAGTGATCTTGTGTGCTTCTTTTATCCGTATGCAGCACTTTGGATAAAAGTTACTATACAAGGGCTTGTCTACTTGGGCAGTCATTCGGGAATAGCTATTCCTAATTAACTCCATGTGTGGACACAGTTATTCTGAACTTAAAGTAATAACTGGAACAGATAATATGCTTTAAATTCACTCTTCCTTATTCTATATTAACTTTTATATGTCAACAAGCCCTAAATAAAATCTGTGATCTTCTGGAATGAATTCTTCTACAACATCTGAATCTTCATGTTAATATTTGAAAAACAGTATTTAAAAACAATTTATATTTGATTATTTATCTCCTTGATTTTTCCCTAAAAAAGGGTCTTTTTCATACATATACTGTTTGCTCTTACCATTCATTTACCACAGCAGTTAACTGTGGTGTCACAAATGAGATAACTTCAGGTGAAGAACAAACAGCAGGAGCAGATGGGGAAACAAAGAATTCCACGGTTAGAATGTCTACGGTACATGGGAAAGGGATGGACATGACGCTTGCATTCTGTCTAGTCTTTTTTTTACTGTTCTTCAAGATGGTTGGATAACAGTGATTCATTCACTGGGTGTGTGTTTTGATGTGCCAAATTTTATTACATGAAACAAAGTCCTCTAAACTGCCTTTGAAGAAGAGTCATGAAACCTTGGTAAATATTAGAAATGGTTCTAAAAATACTAAGAAAATACAGAATCTGGAATAATTTGATGTCAGCTGTTATAATGTGAAAGGTCCTTGAATCAAACTGCTTTCACACTATCAAATATGCTGTAATCTCTTTATTGCTAACAAAACAATGGGGAAAAAATTATTAGTACTTTACTTTTTTTTTTTTAATAAGTGATCTTTAAATCAGAGCCCTAACCCACTAGGATTAGAAGTGTTACAGTTGTATTTATGCATGGAAGTCGCTAAGGAGTTTGTTAGCATATTTGGCCCAGATGTTTTAAATATAGGTGACGATGCTGTGGTTCTGCTTCTTTTTGTGGACAGGGCAAGAACGGTTTTCACTGTTTTCCTGCCATGGTATCCGCTGTCACCTGAATGTGGCCCTTGCATTAGAGTAAATGGGTCTAAAGAAATGGAACCAACTTTAATAGAAAGTGTAAAATGTTTGTTCCTGTTCTAAACTGATTAGTCTTTCTGTTGGTGGCTGACTAAAGGTTTTCATTGTTATCTCCTGCCAAGTATTTGTTACTGGGTATCTAATGCATTCTCCTTCATGACCATGTTCAATATTTCTAGGCATGGGTTTCCCTTGTGCAAATTTTGGAGATAGGTGTAGACAGTCAACAGGCATAGGGCACCAGACGGAGACATGGGCTGCTGTTGGATCTTCTACCCACTCCTTACAGAGCAATGGGGCAAAACTTTCTAAACTCCATCTTTGGGCAGAATCCTTAGTTGGGATTGCTCTTTGACCTGTCTGAAGTGAACTGTAGTGTTTTTTGTTTTGTTTTATTTTCCCACAGAGATAAATTTCCTAGTTTGTTAGAAAAGAGGTGTCCATCACCTTTTCTGCCTACTTTCCAAGATCGAACCTACCATGAAGTGACTGTGTCTAAAAATAAACCCAAATGAATTAAAGTCCTGAAATCAGTGCTACACAAAGTATCTTTAGCAACCACCGTGAGCTTCAATTTATGCTTGGACTCCCTGAGATTTGCCTCTGAGTCCTTGGCATACACTGCAGTAGCTAAGAGAGAGCTGTGGTAACTTATGTTCCTGAGAAGGGGCGGGGGGGGGGCTAAGCCAAACATCTCATAGCATTCTCAAAATGTCCAGGTGGAAAATTTTCTTTGGGAAACCACTGGAGGACTGGTTTCAGAGTAACAGCCGTGTTAATCTGTATTCGCAAAAAGAAAAGGAGTACTTGTGGCACCTTAGAGACTAACCAATTTATTTGAGCATAAGCTTTCGTGAGCTACAGCTCACTTCATGGGATGCATACTGTGGAAACTGCAGAAGACATTATATACACAGAGACCTTTATATTTTTATATATATATGTGTATATAATGTCTTCTGCAGTTTCCACAGTATGCATCCCATGAAGTGAGCTGTAGCTCACGAAAGCTTATGCTCAAATAAATTGGTTAGTCTCTAAGGTGCCACAGTCCTCTAGTGAAGGAGTACTTGTAACAGGAATAAGAAATATTTCCCTGCTGTAGTCAGTAGAAAAGAGTTCAGACCATCCTACCAAAGGGAAATACTCAAAACTTTCGAGGCTTCAGTTCTTCCCAGATCTCTAGGGCTTGATGGCAGCTATTGTAGAGAAGGCTAGAAGCAAAGCCAGTTCCACAAGCAAGCAGAAGAAATTCCACCTGACTCTCTCTGCTTCAGCTGACCACGGACTAGAGCCCTTGAGAGACAGACTCATTCAGTTTGCAGACATCTACGCCTTCCCTCAGACAGATGAGTTCTAGGTAGAGCCTGGTGTAAACCTGCCTACTGTCACTATCCTACAGGTGAGCTGTTGACTAATCTTGCATCAGAGGATTCTTGAGAGGTGCAGTACAGCTGCTTAATCTTCAGAGATCCACCAAGTAGCACTGCGGAGGCTTAACTTGGTATTTTGATGCCTGCAAAAAGGTGGCAGATTCTAAGACCTATGCAGCCATCATCCTTTTATCAGGTGCTCTGCAGAAAGTGCTACGTAATTATTACTGAGTCATTCCGAGGTCAGATCAGGTGTGTCCAATTAATTCCAGTGTGGAAGCATGTGGGTCTGGAGTGCCACACTTGAAGGCAGAGGGAAGCAGGGACAGAGGCCCTACAGGGAAATCTTCGAACTGCCAAACTCAAGGAAACTCACTTAAAGTGAGGTTCATGTTTCTTTTTGTTACCAAAAATGTCAAATCCCAGAAGGGGGTAAGTGTGGGCTTTGCGGGAGGGTGTGTGTGTGTGTGTGTGTGTGTGTGTGTGCTCTGTTCAGAATGGTTCGTTACAATGCTGTAATGAAAATGGTACTCAAACTGCTTCAGCCACTCTGTCTTGCCATCAAAGTAACATTACATCAGTGTGACATTCTGTCCATGAAGCCAGTGCTGCGTGTTGCATTCCTACAAAGTGGTCCTAAGATTAGACCCATCCTTGAAGTAAACACTTCTTCATAGGTCACAAGGTTGCATTTGTTCCCTTCTGTTGTAACTCTGTACCTCAAGAGGAAAATAGCATCAGCTGGCTGCAAGGAAAACTCTAGAAACTTACTTGGAATGAACAGGTGTCTTCAGAAAGTCCACGGCTGCCTGTGCCATATAGTGCTCATGGGAAAAGAGGCCTTTAAGTCATCAGTTGTCTTGTTGCTGAAATTGCGCAGTGAAGAATTTTTTTCAATCTAAGCACCCATTCTTTCTATAATCGATTATTGCCCATCAGACCAGATCCCCAACAGCATTCTGAGCAGCAAAATCTCAGGCCAACTATGAAAAGATTGGCAAGGGAGCCAACTGGTCCTCTATCCATATGGCCACTGCACAATTAATGCACACACTTTGGTGACTGCTGCTGCTTTTGTTGGACAGGTGCTGCATGCAGTAATACGCTCTCCACCCACACCCCAAATTCTGCCGCTTCCCTTAGCCTATCCTTTGGATTTTACCACTATTTAAAATCTCATACTAAGAAATGGTAAAGCCAGCTATGAACGGCGGAGAGACGTTTCCTTACCTGACAACAGGTTTTCTTCTCTTAACCTCCTCAGATTTTAATGTAATTTGGCCAACATTGGGTGGTTTATGCTCTGCAGACAACATGGGAAGTGTTAAAGGAACGCATTCTCAACTACAAGACATCCATGACATTAGTTCGCTGCGTATTTTACAGCACGTGAAACACACACTCTGGCAGTGATTCTAGGGGACACAGCCAAGCCCTATCTCTGCTAACCGACATGTTTGATCCTACCTCCAAAATTTGCAGGGGAAACCCATTGGGAAAAAAAAAAATCAAGTAAGCAAATTTGTCTTTTTTGCACTAGGGAGGCATCTTGGTGATTCTTGTTTGTTTCCTAAGGACAGAGGAGAAAGGATTAATTCAGTGGGGGAATATCAGAGATGGTTTGTCTCATGGTGTTTACAAGCCCTTTTAGATGTCATTATAAGTGCTCTCAGCTGACAGACCCGAAAGCCTGTCAAGGAAGGAGAAATAGCTATTTTATTAGCTTCTAGCTTCATAGCATACAGTAGGATGACTTAGCTGAAGAAAATTAGTACACGTGAGACTTTGTCAGCCTTGTATTCGTTGAGAATGAAAAGTAGTTTGATCAGTTTGTGTAAAAACATATCCATCCTCCTTTCCTCTCAGAAAATCGGAGCTCTCCCTCAGGAAAGAAATGAAAGCTGCTTCTGCTCCTTTAGCACTTGCTTCTGATTTTCACTGCTTCAGAGCAAAGTGCAGCTGTATCATTGTACCTTCCACTTGATAGATCACTTGAAGTTTAGAAACTGAGAGAAATGTTCCACTTATTTAAAACCTAAAATGGGCATTATTAGGGGAGGTGACAGGCTGACCTTAGTTCTGGTAGTGCTTGTATCCAGTGTAGCTGCATGGGTTGGGACTTGCTTTATATATTGGTAACTGATTAGCTATATATGTGAAAAACAGAAGAACAGCATGATCTAATGGATTGAACTCAGGACTGAGAGTAAAGAGCTGCCTAGTTCTAATCCTGCTTCTGCTAACCTGCTGCATGGCTGTGGCAAGTTTACTTTCACTCTCTCACTTTCCACATCTGCTTATCTCACAGGTGTGCACCGTATAAATGCCAAGTATTCTCAAAGCCATAATACATCAGGTGAAGCAGATATACAGGTCATCTGCCCTCTTCAGCCACTTGAAGGCACCTGACTTTTTAGCCTTGTGTCATGGCACAATACAGATGTTCAGCTATCAACTGTAACACTTCAGTCTTGAAATGACTTGTCTACAAGGCTACACCTGGAGTGACTGCAAATTTCTATTTCACAACTGGAATACCATGATCTGGTAAAATGGTTATAAACAAGTGTGTAACTTGCTCATAATTATCTTTCTCTGCCTTCTTAAACATTTAGTTTCTAGGAAGGAATTTGCTCTCCAGATACAAATATTTGTATAAAAGTACTGAAACTGCAAAGCAATAAATATCTGTGTAACACTGGTCGTTTCAAGGAGATTTTTTTTGATGCTCTGTTTAATTTGTGTATCAATTAGCTCCTACTCTAGTGGTTAGAACAGAAGACTC